AAGTTTATTTGAAAATGGTGTTCAATTGACTCATCCTTGGGCTTTGATTTCTCAAATTGATCTTCAAAAGATGTTATATTATGGGTTTAAAGTGTTTTTCTAGAAAATTGGCCCAAAAGGATCGAATTTGAGAATTTTAAAGTTGAGTTTTGTGCTTGGGGATGAATCTGGAAATTCCAGATTTTGGACCTACGCTCGAGCGTAGGAGTTCACGCTCGAGCGTACCCTCTGAGTCGTGCACTTCCGCTCGAGCGTGGAAAGTCGCGCTCGAGCGTGAAATGCATATGCCCAGAAGTTCATGTGTTTTACAGTCCATTCGAGTGAGAGAGTTCACGCTCGAGCGAGTACCTGAGTCTCACGCTCGAGCGGAGGTCGAGCGTCCGTCAAGCGTGAATTGCATGCATCCAGTACTTTTCATGAAGTTTACAATCCGCTCGAGCGAAGAAAGTCACGCTCGAGCGGAGATCCTTTGTCTGCATGTCCGCTCGAGCGTAGAAAGCCACGCTCGAGGGAGACCCCTGTTTTCTGAAAATTTTGAAAAGTGTTTTAAAGTGCATCTTTGCATCCTCTTTCCATCCTAGGCATTCCTAGGCCATGTTTATGGCATCTTAATTAGGATATTGATGTAGAACCACACCGAGTCAAGATAGGGGCTAAGTTGTTGATTCCCGATTGTGTAACTTAGTGTGTGTTCGTTCTGTTACTGTGTAGGGTTGGCATCCGAGGACGCTCATTAGCTGCTTATAGCCCAATGCTCTATGAATAACAATGTTGTAAAGATATGTTCAATTATGAATATTTTCTGAATGATCAACTATTTTGTTTACTAAAACGTTATTGTTTAATGAATGAATGTTTGTTCTATTTGTAAACTGTAGTCATGGCATCCATATCAATTTACTGTTACTGTACTGTTACTGCTACTGTCACAGAGATCTCTGTCGGTTCCCATGTTTGGAACCACTACTGTTTACTGTTATGATGGCCATCAACTGACTGTTCGGTCTGTTAAGACCTACTATACTGTTTTACTATTGGATGTACCACATATAACTGCTATGGTTTCTAAATGACTGATATGACTGTTTAATGACTGAAAGGACATTCATTCTTAACCTCTTTACACAACTGTTATTCACTGGGCTTTAGCTCACTGTTTATATATATATATGTAGGTGTCCAGGCACTGGACCGATGCTAGGAGCGTCAGGCTAAGCTCCCATTTTGTCAAAGCCAACCATTGTGCCTTACTTCGAGGTTCCGAGTGCGTTAAAGCCATGGCTGTTTTGGGGTGTTTTAGATTTCCCCTTTTGCCTCTGTTCGGTAATAAATGCTAAGACTTGCACTGTACTGTTATGGTAGGGATTTGGTCCCTAACCTGAATGTCTGTATATGATGTATGTATATACTGTTTTGTTTTTGAATGTGGTTTTGTTTATAAAAGTCTTTTCGCATTTAGATTGTCACAGCTCATTGGACATCTTTTATTTACTATTTTGGCTTGCGCCAGCCCCTTTACTCTGCATTACTGTCATTACTGTTAAGCAGGCCTTTGGTAATCACGGATTACTGGCCGGTTACGGTGCTAAGCCCATAGGGGCGGGTTTGGGTCGTGACATTAGCATATCGCATGAGTATGATTGTTGCCATATCCAGCATATTCACTATGAGGCTAAGTGCTTACATGATAAAATATTTGAATTCCTGTGGATGAAGGCTAATTGCTTGAATTGGGATAAGTTGATTAATGTACATTTGACCCATTTTTTCAAGTGGCACATTCACAAACTCTTTTCAAAAAACAAACAGGAAATCAAGCATTCTGATTCTCGCAAATTAGTCTATACTTGTGTGTATGCGCATCACATAGTAATGCTAGCCTAATAATCGGAACAAGAGCATATAATGTAAATAAAATTTATATCATGATTAGTAGAGGCTGATCTTTGATGGGGCGAGCGGAGGTGCTCAATTTATGACCTTCCCTTCTCGTACCTAAGTTCTTGAGCCGAGACAATCTTAGTGATGATGGACAGGTGGCCTTTGGCACGAGCCATGGGTTTCCTAAATTTCTCATAAAATATTTAGGTGGCGACTCTGTATCTGGCAAAGTAGTCCATTTTTTGCAATTTGATTCAAAATCGATTTTCCAAAAGATTTGTCGGATTTGGACTCTTTGGTGTTTATTTATTTCACATTGCACTTGTGAGATCAGATTCAGAACCGCAGGAGTTCGATACTGTAGGGCTTATATCATCTTCCGAAAGGGGACATGAAAAGCTGAGCTACAGTTTCTGGCGACTCTGCTGGGGACTTAGAGAACTTGACTTAAAATTCATGATGTGAAATTTTATCTACACTTATATGTTCTTTGCATTGTATTGGCATTGGTGCGCTTAAGTCAATGTATTTTCCATCTGTTATTCTTGGACGGTTTGTCGGAGGCTTGCCTAAAAGCTTGCCAAAAGGCTGACCAGTCATGGGCTCTGCCTTGATGGAACACAACCCTTGGATCTGGACTATCGTTGTACCATTTGATCCTTATTTCACTTCTCGATGTTAGGTGTGAGAGGTATATTAGTTAGTCTTGCTGAAGTACCTTTCTGACCATTTGGCCTAGTTACATATCAAAAAACCATAGAGACTGTTCAAAACTATGACAAAATCCTCACCCGAATATAGGATTGCATGAAACTGCTTTGTTTGAATAGTAAACCCTAATTCCTGACGAAACTAGGACAGGGTAACCTTACCCCCTCTTCGGGGTGTTTTGTTTCTCACTTAACTGGTATGTGCTTTACAGTGAAACTGTACAGGAATGTGCGTATCAGTTGCAAGTTTGGTATCTATTTTGGAGGTAGAATTCAGTGTTGAGTGCATCCCTACAACTTTGATTACATCTGTGTTGGTAACATCTTAGCTAAGGTGCTGTGCGGTTTCTGATTACTGCTTTCTTTTTGCTTTATTTCTTTTTGCTAGGTAGTTTATCACCACAGCTTCAGAAAGCTCGGATATCTCCCAAGTACTCTGGACCTGAGTCAGAAGGCTTTGCAAAGCCAGGGATCTAGTTCGCGGACATCCCGTGTTTACTTTACTCCCACCAGTTACAAGACAGAAGAGAATTAGATAGAATTCACCGATTCAATTTTTACAGCAGTCACCCCTCAATTCACCTGTATCCAGTTAGGTTCAGGGACAGTCTTCCACTTTTGGTCCAGCATGAGATCACTCACCTATTCCGATGGCACAGTATCCTCCGGTCAGTATGGAGGAATTGATCCATCATCTTTAGCAAACAGTTGAAACCCTACAGCAAGATGCTGTTCATCAGGCTGAGGTCACAGCTCGTCAAGCCGAGGTAATAAACATGCTACAATAACAGCAGCCGCAACCGGCTGTAGCCTCTGCATCCCATGCACCTCCCATGGGTATCCCTACATGCGGAGCCGCTGCCCATATTGCTAATGTCTAAGAAAATCAGGGCAATCCAGCAGAGCCGATCCCAGCACAAGCCTCCAAAGTACCTGTGTATCAAACTGAAGCTCCGTTTGAGTTTGAGGTTGACCTAACTGTACTCAAGGTCAACAAACTGGAGAAGTTATTCAAAAGAGCACACAGTGTTAACTCCATCCCGGACATAGAGGACGAATATACCGATTTTGCAATGACATTGCCAGATCGGTTCAAAATGCCGCACATCGATCGATTCGATGGCTCCGGAGATCCAATGGTTCACCTTCGATTGTTTTCGGACATCTTGTAGTCGATGTGCCTGATTAGACTACAAAAACTGTCTCTCTTTGGCCGGACCATGTCAGGAATAGCAACCATATGGTATGCAAAGTTGGAGGATTCTGTTAAGCAGAATTTGGAGGAAATGGTCGAGGCCTTTATTGCTCAGTATTCGTATAACACACAAATCGAGGTCACAACTTGTGATCTCAAAGCAACACGCCAAGAGCCGAAAGAGGGCTTTTTTGAATTTATGACAAAGTGGAGAGCTAAGGCCTCGATGACGACCACAAGGCCTTCTGAAAAGGATCAGATAAGAATGGTAGTCTGTAATCTGCACGGGAAGTTGTTACAGAAGATAATTGTCTTACCTCTGTTCATATTCACCGAGCTCCATGAAATGGGGGTGCAGATTGAAGACGCCATGAAACAAAAGCTTATTACAGATGAGAAAGAGTAGGCAAAAAGGCCTTTTGTGCGCAATTCCAATGCTACCACCAATGGTAGCAAAAATGTGAGGCCGTCAGATGTGAGTGTTGTCACTATCGAAACCAAGACTGCCAATCTCTTTGCCAACACAGTTCAACAAACTTCAGCCAACCCTACCCAATCCCAGAGGACCTTTACTCAACTCTACATGACCCTATCATAAGCCATGAAGGTGCTAGTCAAAAAAGGCACCTTAAACCATTAGAGCCCCGCCCATTTCCTGATCCTCTTTTACCCAAACACAACCCCGCAAAATACTGCGCATTCACTAATAGTATGGTCATGATACTGACCAATGCTTCCGACAGCGTCATGAGATTCAAGACCCCATTGACAACAAGGTCATCGCACCACCCTAGAAACCACATGTTACCACAAACCCACTCCCGGCCCATAATCAAGCTCCTCTACCTCAAAATCTAAACCTGATCCATACACTGGCCATTCCCTACAACCCTAACGTATATATTACCCCTTCCCGCCTACGAAGACCGACGTTGTTCATTCCTGAAAGTACAAATTTGTGCATGATGGACACATCCATACTTCAACCTAAGCCTGTGGTGGTGACAGTTGTAGTAGAAGGAAGGTTGATTTTAGAGGAAGGTAAGAGTCTGTTGTTAGGGAGTTTTGAGGACTTACCTAAAGGGGTGTGCAATCCAAGTTGCTACATGGTTTTAATGTTGAAGTGCGTATTTGGACAATAGTATCCCCAGACTATGAAATTTTGCATGCTGTTGAATCAGAATTATCTGGACAAGCGTGTAACAGTTGAATACCTGTTGAATACAGCCAATGGGAAGTTGCTATCTCGTCTTTTTGTTGAAGGTCTTCTTTGGTACCATTTTATTGAGGGGATTTTGCTCTGTGATAGAATTTGCAAGCTGATGCACAGTGGGAAAATAAGAAGAATATCTAATTTGGATTTTTCTTGGATTCCTGTATAATCTGAACTTAACTGAGTATGTAGCTCTTGACAGAGCAAAATGATGAAAAAGATTCATGTAGCTGATCCTACTTGATTGGAACCTAATGCTTAATTGGGATTGGTTTGGTTTGGAGTTGGACTGTTTTGGCAATTTCATACTTTTGGACATAGGTTGTAGTATGGGTGCATGGACCGTTCTTGATTACAAATGATTTTTTTTTACTGGTTTTTGTACATGGTCTATATTAGTTATTGAATATTCTAGCTAGTCAAAGATTTTAGTTTTTTGTTCTGAATTAGATAAAGTTAGTAGAGCCCAATAGGAGTTTCTTTTTCTAAACCCATGACAAGCTTTTGCAGCTTTTTGTGATGTATTAGCCTTTACCCGTTGCGCTTAATTTCAAAAGAATTCTAAGTGGATCCTAGATTTTTCTTCTTTATCTACTTCTTTTCTTTCTCATCTTCTTTTGAGTTACCATCCATAAGAGGCTCTGGTGTATAGAGAAGACCTTACTGTTCAATAAATTCAAGGCCAATAAACAGCCCCTAAATCATGCCAAAACTATGCTCTAACAAGCTAATTAGAATTTGTAATCATGTCCTTGTAGAAAAACTAAGGTATAAAAAACGTCCCAAAATCTTTTGCTAGTTTGTGCCGAATCTTATGATTCTAGATTTGATCCAATTCACAATTCTTAAAATTACTATTTCAATTCAAATATCACAATGTGATTCTCAATCTGACAATAATGCTTTCAGTAAATAATACATTAGAGAGAGAGGGAGAGGGAGAGGTGTCACCTTTAGCATTTGAACCCCCTCTTGAAATGTAAGTCGTAAAGTCTTTCTCAAGTACTACATGGATATCCAATCAGTGCCAATAATCAGTAACAAAATAGGACTATCTACAGACATATAGAATTGTTGAATTATCACAAAAATTCCCAGACAGAAGTCTAAAATATATTTTAGTGTGATCACTAAAATTACTTTTTATAAGAGTTTTCTGGTAGGCAGGCGTATATAATATGTCATTATTTCCAATATTGAAATATGATGTAGAGTATTTCAACTACAATTAGAAAACAACGATATGACCTTCAAAGGCTCAAATGGATACTGTTTCCCAATGTCTTCAAGTTCTTTCTGACATTTCTCATTCAAACTATCAAACATTGCAACAAATAACCGATCCACAATATCCATCACCTGTAAAAAGAAGCTAGAGCATCTTACTACCACAGAGACAATTGCATTACTAGTTGGTAGTCTTGGCACTTCAAGAAGTGAACAATTCAACTTTACCTCGGAGTAGTGCTCCTTAATTTCCATTTCAACATCAAGACCTGTAAACTCACATAAGTGTCTGTGCATGTAGGAGTCCTCTGCTCTGAAAACAGGACCTATTTCAAAAACTCAACCAAAATCACCACAAATTGCCAGTTGCTTGTGAAGCTGAGGTGACTGTGCCAGACATGCAGGTTGGCCTTTGTAGTCCAGCTTAAAAACAACTGAGCCACCCTCACTAGAGCCTCCTATCTAACTTTGGGGTATGAATCCCAACAAAGCCATCAGCTAGCAAGAACTGCCTGAATATCTGCACAACAGTGAAACTGAATTAAGGACCAAGCCCCGTTCAGCTTGGCAATACTATTGGCAAATATACCCGGTAATTTATTGAACTTCATTCCAAACAACCCACATGTTTGGTTACACTGATTGGCACACTACCATTTTTTTTTTCGTTCATAAGTAAATACAAACGATATTCAGTCTCATTTTTCATTTCATTTTTTCTAGAACAGGTTCAAACATAAGACACAACCACGCCCCCTTTACCAACCCGTTGGCCCTGCCTCCCCCTCCATTGCTATGTTCCTAGTCACAACAACGTCCCCTGCTATTTGGAACTCAGTTGATTGCTTGAACTACTTCACTGCCACACGATAGAGGTTGGGGTAGGTTGCCCTCTCAGAAGCCATGATTTTGGCTAGCACTGCAACTTTACCCTTTTCCTCCTCTATAACTCTCTTTTCTGCGCTGAGTGCCTATTCTAACTCCGCAACCAATGCGTCAGCCTCATCCTTCTATTTCAGTGTTGCCTCACGTAGCTCTGCATTGTTAGTTACGGCCTCTTGCAGTCTACCCTTGGTAGTGGTGCAAGCCTACTCCACTTCCTCACTCTTCTTCTACTTAGTTGCCACTTTGAACTCCAACGACACTACCTTATGGCGCACAGCTTCTAATTCAGTTTTAACCTGGCATAGTTCAGCTCTCACGCTTGCTAACTCAGTAGCCACTTCCGTTTTATCCACCATGGCTGGCTCAGCTATGAACCCTTGTACCACACCCAGCACTTTCATCTTTTTGGCTCGCTCAACATGCATAAGGTTGTTAGCACAGGCACTTTGTGCCACTTTCTGTCACTTTCTACCACTGCCCATTCTATACTCTAGCTCCCTCTAACTGAGCCTTCAGGGGCTCTACCTTTATTCTTGTGCTCACCTCCTTGCCTAGAAGAGCAGCCGCCAGTGTTAGGGACTCCATTTACGATGAGTAAAAGGCCCTCATAAGCTCAGTCTCCCCGAACCTGGAGACATCCCTTACAGCGGCATCTTTTATGGTTTCCAACAGGCGCTCTGCTGCCGCTTGCACAGTCCATGTCATTTTGGCTGACTCCCCCCTTCGGCCAATGACTGACCAGCCACTACACTTAGGTGGCAAACGACGGTACCCATTGTCTCCACGGTTGGACTTACTCCAGGACCACCTTCCTGTGCTAAAGAGGGGTGCCTCCTTTCCACCTCCTGCTCTGCCACCCCCTCTTCCTCTGTTGTGGGGGCGCCTATTATTGGCTCCATTCTACCCACCTCTACTTCTTGTTCTAGGGGGCGATCAATAGTCTGCTCCACTTTCTTTCCCCTCAAGTCTATCATCTTTGCAACTGAATGGTCTACCTCACCTCTTTCAGTTGCCATCCCAGGCCTTGTCACTCTCACCTCCTCCACTGTTGATCCTACTCCCTTACCCATTTTTGACTTCCTCTCCTCCCCACCCTCCTTTGGCGGCCCCCTTTCTTCAAGGCTTGTTTCACCTCTGCCTTGCTCCTCTCCTTGATAGGGTCCACAAGCACTTTCAGCGATACAAATGCCTCTCGATCCCATTCCGCCAAACCTTTGGGAATGGCTGAATAAACCTCTTTGCGAACAGCTTAGGAGCAAGGCCCAACTCCTTCTCTTTGTACTTCTCTACCGCCGCCAACACCCGTTGGTCTTCCGCCTCTTAGGCCTTCCTCATTGCCTCCACCTTTTCAAGAACAGGATCTCCCTTTGTGTGCTCAGGTCCTAATTTCAAGGCAAACAAGGCCGAAGGCTTGAACATGTCATCCCATCTGACCCCCTCTTTCTCTCTATACTCCTTCACTTGCCTCAGCCTTCTCTCAATCACCACGTCTAACTTTGGCTCCAATGACTTGGTGGGAGTCTTCTAAATCGTACAGACTCGCTCCTCACCGTTCGCCGATACGAAAAACCATTTTGTTCACCAGCCCTTAACTGATGAGGATAGCCTCGCTACTAACCCTTTTCCCTCCACGAAAAACCATTGGCCTAAAGCTTTGTAGCACGAGAAAAACTCCTCCACAGACATCATCTCGCCATCGGTCGCCCTCGGCCATGAGATCGCACACGCAAACAGGATCTTCCATGCGTGCGACATTAATTGGCCTGAAGCCACCTCTAATCGATTTAACACGTCGATGGCTAGTTGTGGAAGTGGCAATCTCAGACCCCCATGGAGTGCTTCTTTATACAGCGCGAACTCCATTGGTCTTGCATTGGACGCCCTCTCCATTGCTGTTGGAAGTCTCAACACCATATCCGCTGGAACCTGATATTTACTGCGTACTTTCTCCAAATCCTCAACCGTTAAAATAGACTTGTCTGCCTTGGTATGCCAATGGTTAGACACCACTTGGCTAATTGGCTGGGTGGCCAAGATCATCGTCAACGGAATGGGTTGGGATGGTCGCTCCCCCTCCTCTCCACTAACCTTTCTACTATGTATTTCTCACCCAGAGCCACTCCGTCGTCCTCTCCCAACACATCAGATGCCATGGCAGGAGCTTTGTCTTGCACCATTTCCCTCACGTTCTTGTAGATGGCTTCAGTTGCAAGGGCAAGGAAGTTAGCAAAGTGAAAGAGAGGGGAATCGTTGCGAGAAACGAGGTGAAATCTGGAATAAATTGATTTTTCCCAATCAGGTATGCAAATTGCACAAGTCCAAATGCCCAAGGCTTTCTTGTATTCCAAGGGTCGTGGTTGAAATTTTCCAGTTTGAAAAGATATTTAACCAAAGTATAGAGGGAATTAGAAAACTTAACGGGTAAATACCCCAACCCTTTCGAATTCCCCACGTTTAAAACCCTCTGTCTCCATCAAATGATTCAAAATTTGCATCAGCGGCCCAGATTGTCCCACGTGGACGGGCACAATTATTTCTCCAAACCACTAACTCCCTTTCTTTTCCCACGTCTTTTTTGCTTCACATTATCACGTGCATTCCTACATCTTGATCCTCGTGCGATATCAATGTATGCTGATCGGTCACCCTTGGTCGACACCTTACTGCTCGGCCATTCTTGTCGTTTCATTACCTTGCTGGTCGGCCATCCCTGCTTGGTCACCTTTGGTCGGCCACCTTGCTAGTTGGCCACCTTGCTGCTCAGTCATTCTTGCCAGTCCATCACCTTGCTGATCAGCCATCCCTACTCAGTCAACCTTGCTCGGCCATTCTTGTTCATCGGTCACCTTGCTGGTCGGCCATCTCTGCTCGTTCACTTTTGTCAGTCGATCACCTTGATAGTCGGCCACTCGATTGCTCAATCCATCTTGTCGATCGTCCACCTTATTCACTCGATTAGTCCCATCTTCTGCGGCTTAGGGGACTACTCTCATTTTTCTTATTCCTTTCGGTAGACTAAAGCTGTGCTCTGGAATGGGAGACTACTGATCGGCATGGCCCAGAAGAACCTAACCCACGGTTGTTTTGGGTTGCCTAAACAGTCACATGGTTAAAGCCCAGCAAATGAAGCTCAACAGTAGACCCAATGGGGAACCCGTAGTGGTCCAAGCCCGGTTGTAATCAAACAGGTGTTAGGTAGGGAGTTAGCCACGTGGCAGACCAAGATTCTGCAGAGTGATTGACCCCATATGCCAAGCATTAAATGAGGTTGTCATGGCATTAAATGCAACAAGACTTCTCACTTCGGGGCAAGGTGAAACCACCATGATTGAGGACAAGTAGACTATAGACTTTCGGCCAATGGGATAGTATGAATGTACAAGGAAATGATTAACAAGAGATATAAGGAAGCTTATGAGAAACGTTTGAAATGGGTAACACACACACACACACACACACACACACTCTCTCTCTCTCTCTCTCTTTTTCTCTCTCTCTCTCTCTCCGATAATTCCTAATTTTCTCTCTAAGTTATTATTTTGACCACATTCCTATCTAACTTGATCGTCGAAGGATCTACGGGAAGGAGTCATCGCCATTTTGGAACCTTCCTACTGGACTTGTTGCATGTGTGATCAAGAAGAAGAAGGAAAGTTGACCTATGGAGTACTTGAATCGGTTCGACCTATATTCTGCTAACCAGATGGCATTATCAGGTCCTATGGCATTTTTCATCATACACTATTAAAAAATGTCACTAATTATTAATTTTCAGTGACAGCTTAAAAATTTTGTCACAAAAATGTCACTAATTATAAGTTTTAGCGACAGTTTCAAAAAATTGTCACAAAAAAACGTAACTAATTTTCAACTTTCAGCTACAGTTTGAAAAATTCATTATAAAAAACATAACCAATTGTAAGTTTTAGTTATAGTTTATAAAAACCATGACAAAAAAAGTCACTAATTGTCAATTTTTAGCGACATGTGTAAAAAATTATTTTCCATAAAACTTCATGGGAATTAGTTCCAACTATTAGGACCTACTGGTTGTTTACCCTAATTGAATTTGTTTTCATCACCTATGTGCTAATGGATGAGAGAAAGAATATGTTACTCATATTGATCAATTCCGTACACTTGTCAGCCTTGATGTAGTAACTACCGAAACTATCAACATAGATGGATTGTGATAACATCTTAGTGTGTTTTTATAAATGTTTATATTGACAAATTTGAAGATATGTGTATTGAAAATTTTTATGAATGTTTGTACACTTCATATTTTTTTGGATGCTAAGGAAAGTGAATTTGTAAATGTATGGCAATAGATAGCTGGACAAATCTAGTTTGTTTGGTAACATAACACCGGAATAATCCAAATTGTTTGGCAATGTATAACTGAACATGCCCATCATAAATTCTAAAAAAAAACAATGTTTTAAGGAAAGTGAATCTATAAACGTGCGATAATAGATGGCTGGAAAAATATAGTTTATTCGGTAATATAACACCGAAGTAATTCAAAATGAATAGGTGTAATGAGAAAAATCTGTTAGAATTTTTAAAAGGGTTTAATTTAGG